ACCCTAAGAGTTTAAAGACCAGCTGCTTCTGTTTAAGCCCAACTGTTTCAGTATTGATGCAGCATAGCTAGGCCATGATGTCATCTGAAGGGCCAGCAGAATATGCCCTGCTTGACCTTAAAAATATGCAGGGGTCTGGCCGCTCCTCCCTGAGTATGCATAATTCCCACCAGCGGTGAAGGGAGTTGCTCACATGCAGAAAAGACTACGTAGACTAAATGACCATAGCGGATAAAGAAGTAAGTTCTACTAAGAAAGCAACAACTATTTTCTTAATATTTACTTGTTCTTGCTACAACATAGCATCTAGTTTTTAAAATTGAAGAGAAGAAAGAATAGTCTTCTAATGCTTCCTGTTTGCTTTTATATGACCCTATGGGGATGGAAATAATTCTTTTACTCCAGTCCTTCTGTTCTCTTTCTCCATACATTCATCCAACCGTCCACACAACCTTTCCCCTCCTTCCTACTTCTATGGTTTGATATGCATGCAAGGAGATATTTGTACTGTACATAATTTACTATATGTTTAATAAAAGCCTTTTTGTTTTAAAAGTTGCAGGTAGAAGAAAATAAATATAATAAAATCTGCATTTTTTACAATACACATGTTCACAAGCACACAGAAAGAATAATGCTATTGCTTATCTAACCAGTCACTTAATAGGATGGCAAAATACAAACCATTCTAAATGCCAAGCAACAACAAAAATCTCAAAGTGATAAAACTCTCTCAATGTCATGGGAACACGATTGTCACTTGTCATTACTGTGCATCTCTCTATTTCTTCATATATCCTAAACTGCCTATTCTTACATAATGCAACACATTTAATAATGTAGAAAATCAATTAATATTTACTGACCTGTCTCTGCTTCTCCGTGATGGGAACGCAGCATTACAGCCAGACACTGTGCAGACATGCATCTCTTTTAAATGAACATTTCTGTAGTGAAGCTTCACACTGTAGGAGCTCTTGAAACTTTTCTTGCACACATAGCAGATCTTGGGGTCTGGGCTGGAGCACATTTCACCTTCTGGGGAGAACTTCTGAGGGCTGCTGTAGTTGAATGTAGAAGTGAAACTTTCATGAAGGGCAGCCATACTGGCACTGCCTCCATTGTACAGTCCATATTGGCTCATGTAGAACATATCATATGTAGGGTCTGTATACTCTTCCTTCACCTTAATGACATCCTGGTTGGAAGAGTCATTGTGATTTTCATCTGGTCTGTCACTGTGCATGATAGATTTTTCACCAGGTTCATGGAGGCGATCATCACCTTCTATGGATTCCTCACACAGTTTGGGCTCTGAGGACTCTGACTCATTTTCATAGTCTCTCTCATGCTCCTGGTCTTCTGATGTCATGCTGTCTGCTCTTCTTATGTCTGGTCTGGAAATGCATCTGCCTCTGTCACTTTTGGAGAAGTCTTTCACAGACAGGCCTGGGCTCATTTCCTCCTGAGAATGGCAGTGATTGTCATGACCAATGTCATTCACCATTGTGCTGCTGTCATTCACCTCTTCGTCTTCGTCATCAAACTCATCAGCAGTATCGATAACTTCCTTTTCAATTTTAACTGGCATGCTTGACTTCCTTGGCTTTTTCTTGGGGGCAAGGTCAGCATTAGGCTCTGGGGTAGGCATCAGCACTGAAGGTACTGACGACTCTGAAGGAGGAGGGGGATGCTGCTCCATGCCACTCACTGCTGGTATTATTGGACTGGTAGGGAGTGAGGTTGGAGGACTCACCATCTCTCCAGGAGTAAGTAAATTTCTGTAAAAAGGAGGAACAGGCTGGACAGTCTTTAAAGCTGGGAACACCAGCTGACTGGGAAGAGGGTTCTGTAGTACAGGATCTAGAGGAGGAGTGGTAAACCCCATTGGTGGACGCCCAGGGCTTGTTAAAGTTAGGTTGGATTTCGTACTTGCTATGACTGGAGTGGCAGCCCCTGATGTAGCACGAATCAGATCTTTGTCACGGTTATTCCTTAGCATAGGCATGTGGAGGCGGGGATTTGGGTTAGCACTGTGGCGATTGCGGCTTCTGAGAGAGCTGAAGACCATGTTGCAGCCCTCAATAGTGCACCGGTGCTTGATTTTCAGGTGAACGGCATTGTAGTGGATTTTAAGAGTACCTTTGTCATAGAAAGTTTTGCCACATGCATTGCAAAACACTCTTCCTTTCCTGGAGGCCGACCCCATTCTCCTCATTCTGTGAATGCGGAATGAGCTTTTCGTGTGTTCTGTTTTCGATAAATCATTGACAGGTGTAGGCGTCTGAACAGGAGAGACACAGGTTGGCTCAGTTTTGGGCTCAACATTTGTGATGCTGGTCATTTTTTTTCTAGATGTTTGCTCATTCTTGAAAGGCGTAGGGGAAACTTCAGATTCACTGCTCTCATTATATTCATTTTGGGTCGTAAGGCTTGGTTCACGAAGCCTCATTGCTGGCTGTTCCAGCAGGAGGCCGTTTGGAGGCAGCCCCAGCAGAGGAGCAGAGACTGGATTTATGTACTGGAACGGAAGCAGAAATGCAAGGCTATTCGGGATATTTTCAAAATGATGAATGCTGGAAGGGTTGCTATTCTCCAGGTGAGCAAGGAGACTTGGGCTCCTGGTACGATTATTGCTTTCAATAAAAGTCCTTATATCTGAATCTGTCTTTGAAGATGGCACAGCCACAGCCTGCCCTTCTTTTTCTTGAATCGCCATCAGCTCCACGATGGATTTGGTTTCTCCAAATCTCAGGAACTGCTGAAGGGTAATGATCTCTTCTTCCCTGGACATGATGGCCCAGCGGTCAAGCACCTTGCCTGCAGCATCCTAGAGGCCATATCAAAGAAACAACAAAGACAAACACAAAGAAAAAAAATTATTGATTCTGCATAATTATTGAATTCAATAGAAGGTGCTCTGCTGCCTGAACATGAAACACTAAGCTCAAAAAACAACACGCAAACAGCATTAATAGAACTCAACCAAAAAATGCAAACCTTCCGGCCATGCAAATACAGTAATTAGAGTCACAGTCAAAGAAACAGAGTTTAATAATGAAAATTGAGTTTAATAATGTCAGAGCAAACAAAATTTAGAAAATGGGGCTCTGTGATCTAAAATACTTTCAATACTTTTTATTTTAACAACAGTGAACTAGGTACAATGCTAATGTTTAGGATATGTTAGCCTAAAACATGAACTGTTGCTGCTATGGTAAAATACAGTAAATTGTACACTTTTTCAATATTAAACGGTGACACTATAAAAAGAGTTAAATAAATGCATTTGATAGATTTGCTTCTTAAATATAAGCAGACATAAGACTGAAGTCACTCATGGGCCACCTCACAAGAAATACTGATGCAAGGCAACATGTTTCAAAAACAGCACATAACACTTGTACCTTACTCTTCTTTCTTTCTTTCTTTCTTTCTTTCTTTCTTTCTTTCTTTCTTTCTTTCTTTCTTTCTTTCTTTCTTTCTTTCTTTCTTTCTTTCTTTCTTTTCCCCATGACAGGAATACTGAAAAATACTTTCACTATAAACTTGCATCAAAAGGTAGAAATTTGGGCACTGGTTTTAAGGATAACCGGACTATTGCTGGCAATTGATTGTAAGTTTGAAATCTTGGTATGGTTTAGGCTTAACAGATGACTTTTTTACAGCCTTACTATAAATGACAGCTAAAAATATGTAAGAAGTAAGCATCTGATGGATGTAGATAGCATAAATGTGTAAAAATGTTGTCTTTTAACATTGCCTTCTGATAGCAAGGGAAAAATCCAGAGAGAATACACATCAGTAATCACTAGACTATCTGTTGTTAAATATACATTAAAAAGCATTTCACACTTTCATTTTTGCTAGTAAGCATGAGATTTGCCTGAAGGTAAGACTTAAAAATTCTGCAATGTAATGTCAGGCAATCCGTTCCAGCATGTATTGAAAAAAACGTATTAAAATACTTATATAATGAATACATCATTTTATTGGCATCTTTTCTTTTGGGCAAGTGCTGGACATAACATCAGCACAGTAACTATAACCAACAAGCACTGTTGCAGGCCATCAAACCAGAATTATACTAATGCTTCCTCATGCATTAAACAGATTGAAAGCCAGATTGAAGTACACTCCACTGTACTGTCTCTGATCTTTTAAAATTTTGAATCTCAGCTTCAGAACCTTATCCAAACACTTCGGACTACACACCATGGCAAAATCCACTAGCTCTTCTTTGATTATGAAGCCTGCAAATACCTTTCTTTCCCCCCTCCATGTCTTACTTATTTCTTTATTTATTTAATTATCTTCAGTCTTCAGAAGATTGATTCTTCTCTCCTCTCACATTTTCTAGAGTACTAGAAAATGCACTTTGCCCCAAATAGTAAGGCATATCTTTATTTGATTACAGCTGGTTTTAATATTTCAGTTCTTCTGGATACAGAGTTAATGACAAAGGTCAATGCCATGTATGTTTCAGTACCTTAGATGTGACTGAAAAACCTTTACAAAGACTCCACACATGACCACTCCCAATCAAACCTTGTGAGACTATGAAACCCTCAATAGCAATTAATTGCATAAAATCTTAGCTAGCTGACCCAGATGGAAAGACTCAGAAACCACTTCTATGCAGAAAATGTTTGGCATGTATTTACACAGTGATGAAGGAAGCACATTAGTCATGAAATGTCCCCACCTTTGAAAAGCTTTAAGCTCTGTGGACATCTCCAATTTCTATGCCTTTGCAGTTTAACCTGTCTGATGGAGCAGAAATTTACAGGCAAACACTACTATCTAGTAGAAATAATCCAGAACATCAAAAAACTCCACCCAACAACAAAACAAAGTGAAACAAAACAAAATCAAAATGGGATAAGGGAAGGGAGAAGAAAAAGACCAACAGCACAAAGAGTTAAATGACAGGTTCATAGTTTAAAGCTCAAAAATAACATTTTTTCATATCCAACTAACTTTGGCTACTCTCCCTGTGAGCGTGACCTAAAACTTCTTACATCTGCTTCTCCCACAACTTCCAGTCAGCCATACTGGTACTAATTTTGAGTAATTCCTACCTGGAACTGCAAAACCAGACTCAGTTCAGATTTTTGTCTCCAGGCCTTCACACACAGACACACACAGACACACAGAATATTAGGAGTTGGAAG